AAATATGAACTAAATACACCAATAGATAAATCACAATTTTAGAAACCTAACAAAATTTGGTTCACAATTTTTAGACACCTATATGATTTTATATTAATTACCAAAGATCAGCTCAGAAATTAAATTAGAAAACTATTTCTAATTCCTTATTAAACGAAAAGCGAATCTCCCGCGTAGCCCACACGTGCGGCCCGTTAGCGCGGCCCACGTGAGGTCGGCCCGCTCGCGAGGTGGCCCGTGGTGGGGGAGTCCCGCGCGCGTTGGCGCTTTTGCAAAAGAGGCCTCGCACTTCTCCCAAATCACAACTAAGTGCTAACACTATTTTCCCTTCTCATAGACCTTCTCGCTTAACCCCCCATCCTTTTCCTAATTCACCCGCGTGCACCCCTGGTTCGCGCTAGAGGTTCGACCGCGCTGACCACTAGAGGTTCGCGCTGGCTCGTCGATCGGGGCGACCTTCGACTACGGTCCAACGGCCTAGACCAAGCAGCAACGCGAGGTGGCGGGACGCGCTCGAGCGAGCTGCAGCGACGCGCGGCCGACCGCGATGGTGTCGCGGCTGTCCTATCGAACCAGAGCACCTAAGAACCTAACTGGCTAGCGAGAGAGCATTAGTAGACTACCATAGACCTAGCCGAGGTGACGGTTGGGGTTGAGGGTGGCAAAGGAGGTTGGCCACGTGCGGCCGAGCCGTGTGACGGCACACCATGGTGGCGCGGTCGCGTCAGCGGTGATGGGAAGGCGGTAGCGGTTCCACTAGCGTGCGCAAGGTGAAGAGGGAGGCAAGACGAAGCTAGTGGTGCAGGTGAATTGGCTCTGGAGGGACAGTAGGAGGGCTGCCCTCGTCCACGGTTGGACGCAGCCTTATCGGCACGGCGGCGGGAAAAGCGCCAAATTGGAGCTTGACAGTGCCTTCTTCATGGCTGGGTGGTGTCGGGAGCGAGAGAACTTGATGGTGAAGCCACAGACGTGCTGAATTAAATGGAAGTGATCACTCGTTGGCCAATTAGATCGCGTGGCTCGACGGCGGCAACAGAGGGAGGGAGAGATAAGGCGGCAAGTGGGCTCGTCATGGTCTCGCCTTGGCGGGACGTGGCCGGCGTGATCTAGGAGCGACGTACGCGTAGACGCAATGGACAAGCCGTGCGTCCACGACCGACATGGCCCGCGCGACCGTGGTGCCATAAATGACAAGGCGGCGGTGAGCTCAACCACGTGCGCGTGGCAGTGGCGGCATTGAACTAGGCTGGCAGCGGCGTAGAGGTGCAGATGGAGGTGCGGACATGACAGCACCGGCGACAGCTGCGTCGTGGCGCGGGGTGGATCGGTGGTGCGGCAACGCGATGAGGCAGGCTGCAGCGTCGCCCGACCATGCGAGTAGTAGCAGCGGCTCCACGCGACAGAGCCAGTGGCGACCAAGCCAGGGTAGTCGCAGCCGGCCAAGCGCGGCAGGGCACGTGCGCGCGCAGAGTGAGCAAGCGTGGCGACGTCGTGCCCCCGAGACGTGGTGACCACACCCACCCGGTGAACTAGCCCAAAATCACGTCTTGCATGAATTTTAAAACGCCTATAAAAACTAAACGGTTGCTCTAGAACCTAAACCATCTTCACCATGCTCCAGACGGAATATGAGGCTACCAACCCAAGCTAAAACACGACATCACCTCCTAACTCGATTTCACAAAATAAATTGCCGAACATTGCATTATCTAGATGTCAATATACTTGAAAATATTTTAAATTTTTGAACTGAACTTGATTCCAAATTGCATTTCTAGGCTATTAGAAATGTTGGCTAGCACTGTTATTTTTCACGACAAGTATTTCATTGTCATCTACGAAGTTCATATTCCAAACTTTATTTAGCGCCCATATATGTTCTAGAGCATTTTTGTTCAATAAAAATTAGTTTTAAACCCTAATTAATACATATGAGTTATGGAATAGCTTATCATTTAATATTTTTATTGATCATCTGAAGTTACAAAAATGTTATCTACACAATCCATCACATACATTATTACATAAACATGATGCTCATGACATGATTTAGTAGTTTGTTTAGGGCGTAACACCGAGGGTGTTACAGAGCCTCGGTAGTGGTCACAGCAGACATGATGACGCATGTGGCGGTTCGCGGAGGGCGGCGCTAGTCTAGGCGGGAGGCGCGATTCCGAGCACGAGGCGCGATGGAGGCAGTGAATCCACGTTGGCGGGCGCACGGTGAGCGGGGCAGGCGACTGGAGGGAGCACGTGTCTCGTGTGGGGGGCGCGTCGCAGGTGTGAGCGAGCGGGAGCAGGCAGGCGAACTGGGACGTCTGCGCTCGAGCATTATCGAAGGAGAAAGGGAGAGGAGAGGGAGAAAAAGGTCCAGCCCGCCAGGAAAAATGAGAAGGTATATGGGGTTTTGGGATGGGCTGGATCTAGAGAAACAAGAAGATAAGGTCCAGAGTTAATTTTTGGAAGGGTTTAGAGTTTTTTCGCAATAGTTTGAGGGGATTTTCTAGAATTTGATGCAAGCTTGTCCCTTTTATAATTTTTAATTAAATTAATATAAACTTGCGGGTACTTAGCCACAATCTTATGTTCACTTTTATAAGTTTCAAAATGTTTGATTTATTTTAGGAGTTTTCAATGTTTTTCTTTTATCTGGAGAGTAAAACATGGGTTGACCCGATGTTTCAGCTGCTCTTAAGAGAACACGGTGTCATCGCCTCTAGACCTTGTATTTGAATCTTGAATCCATCACACCTCTTTGTCCTTTTCTGAATTTATGTGTTTCTTGTCCTGTACCTTCCCGTATTGTCACTTTTGTTCGCCTTGAATATACTCCTACTTCCTCCATTTCAATTATAAGCAGTTCTGATTTAGGTACGTAACTTTTACTAGGTGATCCACACGTTCTCCGTTCTTCCCAATCTCCTTCGTTCTGTTTTATTTCACGACAAATTCAAACATGTTCATCCTAGGTTACAAATAAAGAGCAAGCTAAAGAAAAATTCAGGTTACAAATAAAGAGCAAGCTGAAGAAAAATTCAGGTTACAGATAAAGAGCAAACTAAAATTTTGTTATGTTCAGGTTACAAATAAAGAGCAAACATTCGCTTAAGCTCTTTTACGACGTGCAACTTTACAACTTTTGGTATGCTACCAATTCTTACTCTACCTTCTGATAAATGAAAGAGAAACCTTACACATGTCAATGACAACAAGAAAAAAATAGAAATAATATAAGTTGATGCCAATCCCTAAAAAAATAATATGTGGATTAATATTTTCAGTATCCTAATCTGCATGCTAAAATCTTACGATACTACAATCCTATAAAGTTGAAACGATACTTATTCTACTATACTAAGGTGCTTTATACGTAGTATATACTGAGTGTATTTTAAATTTTACAGTCTCGATTTAGTACTTTCTAGATTTACTGTCTTGAGAACTGTGCACACCTGTCCTTTCGGGACGAAGAATACGTAACTTCACTAATAAACACGTAGACTATCAGTACTATACGGTTACGCGATTGGAACGCGTATAGTCGTTGCTCGCTTCCATCCTCCCTCCACCCGGACCCTCCTGGAAGTTCTCCCCATCAGCCGACCACCGGCGCCGAATTCCGGCACGACGTCGCCACAGGCCAAAACGCGGTAAGCTCTGCCCTCGCTCCGCTGCTCCCGTTGCAACCCAATCAAGCTCGCCCCCCGCACCCCGCGCTTGATTTCTGATCTGTGAGGGGGCGCGCACGGGCAACCAGCCGCATACCAAAACTTGCGTGCGGCCGTGCTCAGTCGCCTGCAAATTTGGCCTCGCCTCCATCCCGATTCGACGCGGTCCTCGCGTGGGAGGAATTTAGATGCTAGGAGCGGCGCGTGTGGAGTGCGCAGTTAGAATCTTATTACTACTAGCGTGGTTTCACTGTGATCTGCCAGTTTCGGACCTACTAGTCTGGTATCTCTTGGAAATTTGCTGCTAATACTCGTGTAATTATTTTGGAGTTGTTGTATTGTCTTATATTGATGCTTGAATTCAATTTATTTTGGTCCAGATTTTGTTTAAATTTAAACGAAAATGACTGCCCTTCTTTCACTGTGTACTGTTGGGCTGTTGGATTCACTGTTTCAGACTTTCAGTGATTCATATTGGGAGTTTTTTTTTAGTTATTATTTTTCAACTCTGCTTCCTAGGAGTAATCGCATGAGTAGCTGGAAGCACGGTTTGTGCACTATATGAAGGTCTATGTAGGGCTGGAACTTAGCAGATTTCTGATCTAGTAAACTGGTTTATCTGCAGCTTATTTGTTTGTACTGCAGTGTGAGATGTCATTAGGTTGCAGTTTGTTTCAATGTGAACTTTTGCTTCAACTATATGGTGTTACATCCACAAATGCATATGTTAAAGATGTAATCTTAAGTCCTGTTTTAGTACTCGAAACATGGCTTTAGTTGAAGACTGCAGGTACTCATGGATGATTGGTCTGCTACCATGGTCAATTGTGTTCACATATTACAACTTTACAACTTTTGCTTGTTGATATGCTTGTGCTTGAATAGTCTGGTGTTTGTTTTCCACAAATTTACATGGCAGATCTAATTAAGGGTTTCTCAAACAGTATAACTGTCGCCAAAAGTTCATTAAGAGTATTCAGCAACCGGATGGACACATGGCTCGTTTATACTAACAGTGTGTTGCTTTCTACAAATAAATTTACAAAGTACAATTATGCAACAAACTGTGTTTCATAAAATTTATTTACTAAAAATGTGATATAAGGTTTTTAATTTGACCAGTCTTGAAATTTAATTACTGTAAACTTTCCAGAAAGCAACATACTGCTGCACTTCTGCATCATTTAATGTATCTGCTGATGCATTCTCATTTTACATTCAGATTATTTCCTTAGATCTATTAGCTTTATTCTGATGGTCCCCAAATAAAAAAAAATGCTTTGTTCTTGATCTTAAGATACATTTTTATTCAGCAGTGCTTGTGAATTACAGATGGGATTCCCAGATGAAAGAGTACAAGTAGATGCACTGGAGCGACACTTACTAACTGGTTTATCTTCAAACGACTATAATGGAGGTTTTGAGGATGAGGTCCTCTATGACGCATCATTTGCAGAAATTGAAGATAATTTTGTCAAGTATCAAATTGCTCAGTGGACTTTATTATCTCTATTACTAATCGTAGCTTGGGGAGTAGGACTGCTCATGCTACTTTACATACCTATTCGGGTATATGTATGTCGAAGCGACTTTCGCTCGAGGAAGCTATACTTGACACCACATGCTGTTATTTACAAGGTATTTGAATGTGGAATGCTAAACTAGTATTTAGTTTTATGCTCATGTTATTGGTTTATTATTTTACTCCCTGATCATAATCCAGGTAAACAAGCCTTTTGCTTTTCCTTGTTTTGGGGTTTTCAAGAAGGAGAAATATTGTATCCTCCCTTCAATTTCTGATGTTGTTGTTGAGCAAGGTAAGCCCGATGATGAAAAATCTCATCTGCTTTCTATACACATTTTGGATTTTGCATGAATTGGATGCTGGAAACCACTTATAAAAATGAATGATCCTATTGCTTCTATTGTTTTTGGTGTTTTGGAGTGAAGATGGCACGAGTTAAATGTTTTAAGTTTATTTCCAATTCTCCACCACTATTAATGTTTATGTGTATGTATAACTTTCTAGTCTATACTAAGAGGATATAAAGCTTTATAGTCTACTATACGATCTAGACTTGGGTTGGGATAAACTACACTACACTAATCAAGTGCTTTTTACTAAAACTTTGTCACAGCAGAATCTGTCCTTTTTCATATATATATATGTCTACGATATTTTCTCTGAAAGTCATTTTTGTATACCATCTTTACAGAAAAAAAACCACATTTGCACCAATTAGTTTGTTCATCATAATTGCAAGTGAGAACAATGTTTTTCCAACAATTCAAGTATTTAGCAGATGTTCACATGATTTCTGTAGATCATCTCCAGTCCGTTTTCGGGGTATATTCGATCAGGATTGAGAATATCGGTGTCAGAAAGCCTCGTAGTTATGATGTAAAAATTACTGGGGTTGCTCGTCCACATGATTTCAGGAAGGTACTTCGATTATTGTCTCACTTGATCTCTAGTTTTTGTTGAAACTAAGCTTTGGATCTACTTATTCAGGCTGTTCTAGTCCATCTTTTGAACACTAGGAAGCTGAAGTTCAGTCAAAAAGCTTCATCGGATGGCCAACAGAGCACAAGTTTGAGTTCTACAGCTAGTTCTTCGGTATGTCTTCAGTTAAGTTGCCTCATTTGCTCTTTTAGCACTGAAAATTGTACATTTCGTTGTTTTAGCACACTATGATCTTATTGGAGCTGTGAGATACCGACATCAATTTTTCTGAATCTGTGTCACCCATATCAGCTACTAAACATGTTTCCAAAATGTTTGCAAATTGTGCTAAAAAATCTGACTATGATATTGCATTGTTCTGATGTAAGCTTGTACACAGTGTGGGTAAACACCATAGAGAGATACTGACTGTGATGGTTTGAAAGTATTGGGCTTAGAGGAAAATTTGCATGCCATGGAGATGAAGCAATTCAGTTGAAAACTCCTGATTCATTTTTGCTTCATAAGACCAGCACCATAGAGAGATACTGACTGTGATGGTTTGAAAGTATTGGGCTTAGAGGAAAATTTGCATGCCATGGAGATGAAGCAATTCAGTTGAAAACTCCTGATTCATTTTTGCTTCATAAGACCAGGATACAAATGCTGTGTTTTATAGGGGTGACTCAATTGACACTTAAGAAATAATCTGTAAAATTAAGGGAATTTACTATCTCAAAGATAGAAATAGGTAACTAGGAAACCTATAGGTTAGGCTGCTTGTTTCTACCATAATCCTGCAATGTCTATTTTTTTCATTGACTACACTGTTAGTGTTTATGCAAAAGATCACACTTTTTTTGCATGCGACAGTTGGGGACCTAAAAACATGCAGCCCTCATGACAGTTGGATGTTACATTGGATCAACCATTGGACTTGGAATATAAGTTTGTTACTTTATTTCACTCACTGGAAATGGTTGCACTGAACTACTGAGTCTTGATTGTCACCTGCCAGCCAGCCCAGCCCCCCAAGTTGCTCATATTATGCACCAGAAGGCTCTGTCAGTAACTGTACTACTGTATATTTCAAATGTCAAGATCCAATAATGTGATGGTCTCTATATTTGTCAATTATAAAGAAAAGTCCTGTATTTTGAATTTCTTGTTGGTTTAAACTTTTGAAACTATTATTTTTCTGATAAATAGCTTGAAATTGAATATGTTGTATATCTAATGTAATGTTTTCTAGAAAATTTTGATAAGCTCTTTGTGCTTCACTCTGCTATATGAAGTTTGAAAGTACATAGATTGATCTTTTCAGGAGGTTCCTCTTGGAGATTTGATGCTAGAGAAGCTTGATGAAGTCGAAATCTCTGTAAAGGTGACAGTTGCAGAAATGCTTTGCATTGCTTTGATTCTTTCAACGTTCTCTTTGAATATATACAATTACACAACCAACAAAGGTAGTGACTAATGTAGTTAGGTAGTGCCAGTGGCTGTAAAGGAAATATAAAAGCTTCAGAAGGCCTAAGAACTTTAGATCCATAACTTAATGTTTAAGAGCTTGTTCTGCCATCAAATTGTAGCTGGATGCATGACTTACTATCTCAGAGTTGATCGATGTAAGTCCTTTAATGGACTTTTAGTGTTCAGAGCTTGAGACCTTGAGCTCAGAGTTGAAGCTATTCACCAAAATTCTAGTAGCATTTATTGCTGTAGTGATGTGTACATCTATCTATCATTGTTTTTGTGGGGGGTTGGTTACTCGTATGTTTGTTTGGCACTTCATGTACATGTTTGATATAATAGGTTTCAGAGGTTCATTTTTGCTGGTGTTGGTTCTCTGAGCCTGTAACAGGAATTTTCTTTTGACTCAGAAAATGCAAGCACTGCTACAGGGGGCTGAAACTTCGAAGATTAAGACCACATCCAGCTGACTCAATGTATGTTGACATTTCACAGGCATGCTTTCTTATCCAGCTAGCTTCACGATCCTTTGAAATGATATGTGAGTATCCAGGACTACTAGTGTCATTGGTTTGTGTGTTTCTTGGCTCTCAAGTCTCAATGTTACTTTCACTTGCGTTCCAAGGTACTGCAGCTGACTCCATGGCTCAGCCCTATCGCATAAAATTTGTTGGATTTCCATGATATCAGACCATTTACCAAAACTATCCAAGTGGGATGTTTTGCATGTGCTAGATAAACCACTTTTCCTGACGATAATTGGCTTCCACTGTTCCACAATGTACCAGCATAATACTGAAAAGCATTCTCTATCATGTTTTGAGAGGGTCATTTTCTTTGGTTCATGTATGGTTTCTAGTCACAAATCACAATCCTATAGCTGTACATACCAAAAATGTTACTGGAGAAGTCCCATTTGTGCAGAAGTCATCATCAGGTTATGAAGTTAATGACTTTTGATTTTTACTTCTAATAAATAACAAAACAACTGCAACTGCAAAAAAAATCTGTTGAAGCACGTAATAATCATCACATACCCTCCACTTGTTCAGTAAATATCAGCCAAACCTCAACTTCAGTTACCAAGACCTTTGTTGCTGCCTGAAAAACTATGTCGTTCACAACTTGGTGATTGCTTTGCTGGTTGGTAGTGCTTTTGTTGACCCAGATGCTAGTTCCACAGTCAAAATTGCATTATACAGAGTTCATATCATGCCATTACTTTTATTAAATTAAAACATGACCTCATTATATTTTCAAAAAAAGTATCTGAAGTAAAAAAGTAAAAGCAAGATGCCCCCTCTTAGCATTGATTTCGAGGCGGACAATATGGTAGGCCCCTTTTTAACGATGCCATGCCTCATTCACAGGCCTGTTATTGCGCTTAGTAGAGTTCACTGCTTGGTCAAAAGGCTTTGGAATGTTTCAGTGGTTAATGTAACAGGTGTTTCTTTACTTTATCTTAATCTGATGAACTATATTTCCAACATGTGGTTCATTGAACCTCGTAAGTATCTAGTCGTTTCTTCTAACCACAGGAAGGTGGAAAAATATTTATTTATACAAGCAAACAAAAGACTAGCTGCTACCTATTACCAGGTGAAAAAAGGTGGTATCTGCTTCTCGTGAAGGCTGACTGCTTGACTTTTGTCCCTTTTTCTCTATCCTGTGTTCACACTCTAGGGTATTTCCCTTTTTTTAAGTTAGAGGTCCGCTCCCCAATATTAATCTCCTATTCTCCTGGGCCCAATATTAATCTCCTATTCTCCTGGCTGCATGAGCATGATATCATGTCGTGCCATGCATGCAATCTTTTGAGGTCCTTGTACTGATGTATGAGGAGAAAAATGGACCAGACCATAATAAGCTAGTTTATTGATTTGGTGGTTATGGCTGCATTGCTTTATGTCCTATCAAGCATAGTTTATGCACATAGTGCATCATGAATTATCAGCCTGTTTGCTTGCTCGTAAACGATCGTAAATTTTCAGCCGGGAACAGTGTTTTTCTCTCACACCAAACCAGCCAGCAGTAAATAATCCACGATACGATACGGCCTCCCGAACAGGCTGTATGTTGTTAGCTTTTGGTTTGTTCCCCCACTTCCCCGTCATTATGTTGTGACCTTTTGGTTTGTTCCCCGTCATATGGCACCACAATCAGAGTTCAATATCAAATTAATAAGTTCTAGCAGCCACCGGTGTGGGCTCCAGTGTCATCAGAAGGCATCTGGTCTCATTTTGATTGGAGATCTTATTTGTACTTGTCTTTGTGGTAGTGATCTAGGCTAGGATGGTCACTGGAAATCAGACGGTTTTCTGCGCACCCGTGATCACTATCATTTAGCTACATGTAGCTTGGATTATTACTTGGAGCAGACGATGACAAATTTTCTTTCTATTGTTTGTGGTTTTAGGATCGAACAAGATATGACTGGTGCTGATCGACCCCTCTTTGCTCTGGTGGCTATCAGCATCATCGTCGTGGTTGCTGTTGATAGCAGTTCGGCTCATGCAAACATTTTCGCAGTGGCTGCATGAATAGCTAAGGATGCTTATAACTTTGTTACTGTCATATGTTCCGTCCTGTGTATTATTGTCCAATACGGATGGTGATGGCTTTCTGTAATCGTGCCGGGAATTTCACTTTCTGCACATAAAGTCATGTATAGTTGAAAGGGAGGGAATCGTTCATATTGTAACTTGAGAAAGATCCACTTGGTGATCAGATTAATATGTGAAACCAAGTCACTACCTTGCAACTGACGATGTCAGTATCATATATTGATAAATGATATAAGACCTTTACTGTTTGCCATGGGGATGGCTATCCTGTATAGCTTGATTGCCAATATAGCGACCTTTCTGTTTGCTTCTAAAGGCTTTTTTTGGGGGCATTTAACAACACTTCTTTTTTTCCCAAAAAATATTTACTTCAGTGAATCAGATAGCCTGAACAATCGACACTTTTTCCTTTTTCCATTGCTAATTGTGTGTGTTTTTTAATACTGATACCTAGCTTTCCATACACCCAACTAACCTTTGGTTATTCTGACCAAATTTATAAACCGTGGCCAGCAGAAATCAAATCTGTAGCCTTTCTGTTGCCGTTGATCCTGGCAGTAGCAGCCATGGACCATGACGAGGGTCACTAAACGTCTTCCCATTTTTCTAGGCTATCCTGTGGGCAGATGCACGCTGTCGACGACGATAAAGTGAGTGATTATCCTTTGACTCGATGCACTGACATTATTGGTTTCCTCATGACTGAATCTTGGGATGATGGACTTGTAGCTAGATACTGATCGGAGGAACGCGTACCACAATGTTTTATATGCCTCCTGACTTGACTAGCAACATGAATTGAGATAGACGTTTCTTTTCCGGCGTTGCCTCTAGCGCTTTCATTTGACACTTTGTTCTTAGTAGGCTCTGGATGGCTGGATTGTTCTCTAAGAATCAGAGGGGGATAGGATAGGAGTACTAGAGCACTACTATTGTACTTGTGATATTTTAGACTAATAATTAGTATGTGTCCTGGGATCATGATAAATTAACTTCTAGAATTGTCATAAAGTAAGCTTTATCAAATTTGACTAAATTTATAGAAAATAGCACCAATATTTATGCCATCAAATTAATATCATCATGAAATATATTTTTATAATATATTTATTTGGTGTCACAAATGATGTTACTTTGTTTCATAAATTGATCAAAATTAAAATAGTTTGACTTTAAATCGATGATTCTATGAATTGATTTATTTTGAGATAGAGGTACCACTAAGTTAGCACTGATATATTATATATAAAAGATCAGCTTGATGATCAGATAGAATAAGTGGAATCTCAAGTCATTATCGTGCAAGATTTGCTGTCGTAGATCCTTGGTACGCTGATAATTTTTTTTACTGACTACCTTGGGCATTTCTGTATGATATTCAACGATGACATATGGTTGCCCACGCATATCTGTTACATTTTTTAGAATCATACTAGCTTCCCGTTTAAATTTTGTCAAAAGTCATAGTCAAATACTAGTATGTTACGTTTAAGCAACCAAATATAAAACAGAGGAAGAAGAATTCAGAACGGAGAGATTACAAGAGAGGCATGCATTCTATAGAGTATATATATAAACAACTGGAAATCTATTCCACCTCTGCAATATCAAGTAGCGCTTAATCCTGATTATTCGTTCTGATACGGTAGTACGGTACCAATTCAAACGCAGTGTTTGTATTCACTGATTTGCATGCAGGTACGAACTAGCATTTGATATATTGAACCTGTTCGCTGGTTGGTTTCTGGACTGATAAATTCGGCTGATGCTGGTTTATTGTGAGAGAAAAACACCGTGGGCTGCGAACAGGCTGATTGAGCAGTACAAACCGGAGGGGCAGCGGCAAGTCAAAACTGTAGCTTTCTTGCTCCCGTTGCCGTTGATCTTAGGCCCCGTTTAGTTTCACCTAAAATCCAAAAAATTTTACGCAGTACCCGTCACATCGAATCTTGTGGCACATGCATGGAGTACTAAATGTAGACGGAAAAAAAGCTAATTACACAGTTAGCCGAGAAATCGTGAGACGAATCTTTTAAACCTAAATAGTTTATAATTGGACAATTTTTGCTAAATACAAACGAAAGTGCTACAGTAGCCAAAAGCCAAAAATTTTCGGAACTAAACATGCCCTTAGGCGGCCATGGACCATGACTGACGGGAGTCACTAGACGTCTGCACCCCTTTTTTTTCATATATATCCCGTGGGCAGACAGTGGCACATGCACACAAATAGCAACCTTTTTTATGTTTTGATAAGGAAATAGCAGCAGCTTTGACTAGAGCCAACGACATTATTGGTGCCACTGTCTTGACTGAGTCTTGGGATAATGCAGCTAGCTATACTCCCTCTTCTGTCTTAAAAAAGAGTAATTTTTACTTTTCAAAGAGTTAAAAAGTTAAAGTTTAATTAAAAATACATAAAAATATTAACATTTATGATACAAATTAAATATTATTAAATTAATTAGAATATATTTTTTTATAGTAAACTTAGTTATAGCCATAAATATTAACACTATTCATTATGAATTTGGTCAAAGTAAAAGTTAGTTTGGTTGGTACAAATAATCTCATAGTTATATTTTTTTTTTAGGAAGGGAGCAGGGAGTATATGCTCAAGTGTGTTGACGTACGTAGGTGCCTCTGTCTTGACCAATGAGAACGCAAAAGGCATTCCTAGTTTTTCCTTGTACCAGACGTTTACCTTTGCGTGTATATGTTGGCAACTTGCATCGTACATACTGACATCGTGTTGTTTTTACTAGTCGTAGTCGTAGGCTCTGGATTGTTCTACAAGAATCACAGAGACTATTCTG